CCCACACCCACCCCGAACGCCCCCTCGCCGAACCCCGCTCTCTGAGCACCAAAACCAATCAGGAAGAGAGGCGGTCAACATTATCGATATAGATTGTACTTGCAAGTCATCGCTCGCTGTTAAATACTGTACTACTGTTTTCCGGTCTGGATCGCGGCGTTGGCGCGTTTCGAGCGTGTCGGCTCTCAGGTGGGGAGAATTCAGTGCGGCGAGTTGCCCATTTCCCAGGCGCTGCAAAGCATCACTGCCAGAAAAAAAAGCCCACGGCTCGCACTGGTCTAGTCCGTTGCCTGATCGAATTGTGCTGAGTGAGGTACGCAATTTTATTTGAGTTGCAAAGTACAGTAGCCTTTAACATGGAGTCTTAGGGCCACTGCTGTAAACACGTACAACGATTTCGAAGGGAGGTGGTATTCGCGGAATTTCGCCTACCCGCCCAAATTTGTGTCACAATAACTTATCGAGCCCACCCTTCTCGTGCGCCTGGTCCAGACACGAGCTGCAGAGACAGCAGATGCGCCATATGCGCGGTCCTGTGCGACCCGTGTTGCTTCTTCGCCCCGACCTTTAGAAGACGGGTCGAATGCGCCGCGGTTGTGGCTGGTTGGTTGGCTGTTTGGTGGTTTGGTTTGGTTGCACCGACAGTGACAGCTCTCCACTCAGCACAACACACTCGACCTCCACGTGCGCCCGGCTATGGCGTTCAATCCTCCCCTGGTCGGAGAGTGGGTATGCTTTTATGATTAAACTCATATTTGCACACTCACTTTTTCAATCTGTGCTCAGAATTGGGACAAATGAGTAATACGAGATGAGTACACTTATTGAGGTGGATGGTGAAATATGGGTAATCATATCTCATCATTTAAATGAGTAAGGTCATCTCAGTAAGAGCATATCTTATGTGTAAGGGTGACCTGTTGAGGTCCCGTCGACTGCCTCTTTTATCTTAAACAAGAGGAAGAATGTTAACCGAGGTATGTCCCCAAAGTGTAAAACGCGAGGGAAAGCCAAATTTGCTGTCTATTTGGCCCTAGCTTTAGCCGTTTGGAAGTTATAGCAGGGTTGAAATCACAAGTTTTCTGACATTTAAGTGGTACAACAAGAAATAGACGTACATGCTCCACACCAAATTTGAGACCAATATTCCCAAAACTACGGATTTAGCAGCGTGCTGAAACTGAACGTGTGAGAACACTAATCTAAGTATACTGATATATGAGTAGACATAACGAGTCTCAATGAACTTAGAAATACATAACAGTACCTATCTCTCCATTCTTCGAAAGCTATAGGTGTCGATATTCATATTAGATAGCTTACACGCCATCTAAGCGTAGTAAATTCGCAATGTAAGTATACTGAAACAATTATGGATATTGTTGTACGTCAGATAACAATATTAAGACTGGCGTGAGTACAATCATATTTTAATTTCTTCGATTATGTAAGAGCTAATGACTCAGATCAGATCAGTTAAATGGCTCTAAGATATCATCTATAAGAATATGTTCTTATATCAGCTATGTTATTTCTATGTGAGAATTCTGAGACTCCGACCAGGGTCCTGGGGCTCTCTCTCGTAAACACCTCCACCTCAACACTGTAGAAAAGAACACAGTTTGCCGTTACGCTAATGAAGAGCTCAATATTTTTTTCCTGAACCGTGTGTGTCGTTCAAGGTGAAGTCCGACACGAGGGGGGAGGGAGGTGATGCCCCGCGCGCTTCGTTCGTGCAGCGTCACCGCCCGGAGGACACCGTGTAGGACGAAGCCGCGGGGCGTCCAGGCGCCACCACGGCTGAGCGGCCACGGCCCATGCTCCACGTCTCCGTCTCCGTCTCTTTCTGCACGTTGGCGAGGGCGAAACCGCGACAAATAATCCCACGCAGAGACCATTATGATGCATACTAATCGTGTCTAATAATTGCGAGATATAAGAGGTCGGTTTATTCCGTTACAAAGTAGAACGTGGTAATCGTGGGCGATTGGCGTACCCCGATGGCCTTCAGTTTAGGGGCAGTGAGGCAAGGGTACACACACACGGTGCACTGGCACATGCCGTGTGGTTATGCTATGAACAAATTTGGCTAAATCGCGTTATTTCTGTCCAGACCCTGAGGATGACCCTAAATGTGAAACTTCAGAGACTTTTATGATGTGACTTTTTCTCTACAACATTTGAAGGTTTTGTGCTAGAACGGCGATCCATATTTCACCGAATTTGTCATTTCAGTCCGCTGAAAACAGCGCATTTTCATGTTTAAGAGAGCTTTGGTTGAAATTTAATATTTAGGGACTGGGGCCGATTGAGCGCAAGGGGCTTCCCCCCTTGCGGCTGGCTGAGCTGCCGGACTGGAGCAGCAGTACTTGGCAGTAGGTAATCTTCAACGAAAAGGGAGAACTTTACCTTCGGGTATAGAGACCCAGTCACAAGGGACTGTCTCATGAAAGTGTGCAAGCGCAGCAGAATGCGACGGCGCGACGGCGGCGCGCCCCGGGCGTTGCTGTGCGGGGAGGGGCGGGGCCGGGGAGGCGAGTGGGGACTTCGTTTCCAAACAGTGTGGTGCGCATGGCGCGGAGCGGAGAGTTAGGCGCCCGCGTCCCGGAGCGAACGCGGTACGTCACGTCCATAGCCATACAGCCGCCCGGAGCGCACCCGCCACATCAGCCAGCCAGTCAGTCAGCGCGCCGTCGCCGCCCGGGTCGCTCATCCGCTCCTGCCGCACGCGCACCGTCACCATGCCCTGCTCGTCCACCGACCTGCGCTTCGGCGAGGTGCCGGCCGCGTTCGGCCGCGTGCTGCGGGAGCACTTCACGCCCGTCTTCAGGCCGCACGGCTACGTGTCGGTCACGGTCAAGGACGGCGGCCGGCAGGACCGGGACCGCACCGCGGCCGCCGCCGTCACCATGCCGGCGCACTTTCGCGAGCTGGGGCCGCTCGTCCGCGACCTGAGGGTCCACGACGACGACGTGTGGGTCGTCAGCTTCCCGAAGACAGGTTTGGCCTCGGGTTTGGCCGCCACGCCACCCCCCGTGTGGGTAGGCAACGAGGTCGCAGCCACGCCCTCGGGTTGCCTGCCTAGCCCAGCACGCAAAACGGTGTGTTTGTTTGCTGGAACAGAAGTGGACCGTTGGCCTTTGTAAATTTAGCAAACGGTTCGCCCTTACCGCAGCTGTAAACTCCTTGTTTGCTACTATGGTAACAGCAAACATAATTTTTGGCGTCCCTGCAAAATATGTTTGCTGTTCCAGCAACATGTTTGCTATTCCAGCAACATGTTTGCTGTTCCAGCAACATGTTTGCTTTTCCAGCAACATGTTTGCTGTTCCGGCGAAATGTTTTGCTGTTCCAGCAAACCATTGTTTGCTAAATTTACAAGGGCCCATCATACCTCTGATTTAGCGAAACACACGATTTTGCGTGTAGGCAAAGGTCGCCCCGCCGCCGCCGCCGCGGCGGGCGCCGGGAGGGTAAACTTTGGTAAACACGCCGGGCTGGGCGGGCGGGCCAGACAAACTCGGCCAAAGCGCCGCGCCGACCGCGCGTCCCGTCGCTCCGACCAGCTTTGCCTTATCGCCGCTCCCTCTTTGCATCTTATCCCGTTTTGCTACACTTTTGCAATTATACCGAGTAGTCGCCTGACTGCAGTTTTTCTCTCTCCTCGCGTCTGTCGCGCCTGCTTGCCCAGTTTATGGTCTAACGAGATTACATCGGGGTGTTATATTGTTATTTGCATATGCGGCATGCCGGAGGGGTTTATATCATGATGATGGCTTTTGCCGCCCGAGTCATCATCATTCTCCAACACTTCTGAGCGGTGCCTCTCCTCCGCACGCGGCGGTGTGAAATGTCTCTGAGTGCAACGAGGTGCCCCGCGCTGCTGCTGCTGCTGCTCGCGCTTTTGGCCGCCTGCCCGCGAGTCACGCGACACATCACTATTCTCAGGACACATTAATTAAAACGATAGGCGCGCACGCTGCAGCGCTGCGTTGGCACTGTCCAGCTCCATCCCGAGGCAGTGAATTGTCGTTCACAAGCGGCGGACAAAGTGCCCGTTCTCCACGACACGCATTGGCCTCCCCAGTAGTCCCCCTCGAGGCCGCCATCCCTTACCCCCCCCCCC